CACAGTTTCCATTTATATAATTCATCATAAGAGGTCTTCGGGCTGCTCTTTGTCTAATCCCTCACGTAGGACCTGTTTGCCATGGGTTACCCAGCCAGAGGCATAAAGCCTCAGACAACTTAGCTCCTAGGATCATTGGGACACTCAAACCCCTCCACCACGGTAAGGTGACAGCCCAGGGAGAGGGTGTTGTGGAAATAAGAAAAGAAAATGATTAATAAAGTAGTTCTCATGCATTTGTCTAAAGACATCCACCAATAACACGTTTCAGATTCAAAGCAGCGATAGGACCATCCGGTTGACCGCAACACTTCCCTGGGTTCTCCACTCAAACTCACGTATTTAGCAACAGAACACAGCTGGTGTGTTGCAGCAGTTTCAACATTTATGTGTCTTATATTCAATTCAATTCAATTTTATTTATATAGCGCCAAATCACGACAAGAGTCGTCTCAAGGCACTTCACATAATAAACATTCCAATCCAGGTCAGTTCATTAAGCCAATCAGAAAAAATGTTTCCTATATGAGGAACCCAGCAAATTGCATCGAGTCACTGACTAGTGTCAGTGACTTTACAGCAATCCTCATACTAAGCAAGCATTTAGTGAAAGTGGAGAGGAAAACTCCCTTTTAACAGGAAGAAACCTCCAGAGGATCCTGGCTCAGTATAAGCAGCCATCCTCCACGACTCACTGGGATCGAATAGACAGAGCTGACACACACACACACACACACACACACACACACACACACACACACACACACACACACACACACACACACACACACATACACACACACACACACACACACACACGCACGCACACACACACACACGCGAGCGCACGCACGCACGCACGCACACACACACACACACACACACACACCAAGCAATCTGTCTATGGTTACATTGTGATTTCTTAGTAAATATTCTATTTGGCGATAGATAAACTTTATTGTATTTATCCTAGTGAATCTATAATTAAACGGATAAACTAGTAGTAGCACATCCAACGTCAAGGAAAGCAAAAATTGCGTCTGAATGTTCTTCTGTGGTAACAACTTTATATCTTAGAGCAAACCAAATTAAATCACATATTTGTTCTTGTGTGAGAAAATGTTTATATGTTTTTACAAAAATGCTCACAGGGTCATGGCTTTGGAACAAATTATGATGTCAGCTAAAGATTCTGGGGTTAAAAGATGTCTGTTATTGTAAAGAAGCATTTGAGGCCAGAGAGTGAAAAGCTAAGGTGGCTGAGTGAGTTTCACCACCATGGCAGTAGTTTCAGGTGCCATTATGCAACATAAAAGAGACGGCTTTGTCTTTATTAATCTGACGGGAGCGAAATGTCCCAGTGTCGAGTACGAATTACCCCACTTGAGCTTTGCTATAACATTTTGTGACAAATCTGACATAGCACGAGTCTGAAGTGCTGAAATCACATGTGCTCCGGAAGCGGGGGTGGTAAATTTGACACATTATCAGCTGTTCAGAGGAATATGACAGATTGTATTATTAAATAGAAACACGGCTGTCCAACCTTTCCTCCTCCGTAGTTCTGTCTACCTGCAATAGAAAGCTGCTCATTTATTTCTGAACACAGCCAGATAAATGAAAGCACTCTCCTGTTTACAGAGTCCAGCTTGCAGCTCAGATCTATATGCATATTGTTCTGACATTGTTGTCACTATAGATATTATTATTAATATCGTTCTGATTCTGTACTGACATTGTGCTAAACTCATCACATGTGTTTGATTGCTAAAACATGCTCATGCCATGCAGGATTATGAGTAGAATTGTGGTGCGACTTTTAATCTGACAAGCATTGACGATGTGAGTTGGTGTCTCCAGCAGAAGTAAAAAATCACGTTGTTCTCCAGCTGACACAAACGTTATGGTAGCGTAATTAAACTCTAACTAGTCCAACGGCGCTGCCTTCCTTTGTCACAGCCCAGTTTTTAATCAGCCTCTAAACATTTAGTTCTCTGATGTGAAATTTCATGGTGCTACACCATCTCAAGCAAATACCAAATATTGCATGTGCACCGAGGCTTTCTGTCACTTTTACAGATGTTTTTCAGTGGAGCGCGAAAAGCATTAAGAGAAAAAGTGACGTGTGAAGGACTGATTTCAGTCGCTTTAACAGATTGATGGAGCCATTAATGTTGCACATTTCAGGTTTGAAATGAGCCTGTGATGAATCTGTCGTGGATTTTTTAGTCCAACAAGCAGCATGTTTTGTCAAATCAAGAAGAAATGCAGCAGCAGTATGTGAAACCTCAGCTGGAGGGTAAAGATTTATTTGTACATATTTCTTTTTTTGTTTCAACTTCATCTGTATCTCTGTAGATTTAGATCATGGAATTCAACATTTGTAGAGTATTTGAGGTTTTTCAGATTTAAATGTTTGACTAAATTATTTACGTCTGTATGTTGGAACCAGGGCCTCTGAGTTTTCAGTGTTTCTTCAAGGCACTCGAGGAGTACAGACGCTTCTCTCTTTCGCTCCCTTATCTTTTTTTCCCAAGGCTCGTTGTCCTGTCTGCCCACAGAGCGCTTCTCTGCATTTCTTCTGAAAAACTCTATTTTTACTAACCATGGATTTGATAAACTGGTCATTCAATGTGATCAATAAGATTTTTTTCAACAATGAGAACGGAACAGGGGGCTCCCACATGTCCACAGGGGACGCACCCGGTGGCGTATATTTTGGATTCCCGTAAGGAGCGGAAGATCATATGCCTCAGCCAGCTGTCCACTGAGGATATCGAAGACGTGTGGATATTCGGCCTGATGATCACTGGATTTCTCCTGATTGGAGTGGGAGGATATCTGGTTTTCTGGAAATTTGGGAAGACGGGAGTGATTGGAGGGCGACCTGCACCCACGGAAAGCACCGTCCATGTGGAGACTTCTCAGACTGGGACGTTACTCGAGGTGAATCGTAAGCTGGACAATGTTCTAGCTGCGATACCGGTATTAGTGCGCAAAATGGATGTCATCTCGGAGAGAGTCACCGGACAATATAGACAGGTTTAAAACTCAAAATTGGCTTCACTGAAGGACTGGAATGATCAGTTTAAAGACTGAAGGCAGAGAGGAAAATTATCTTAGCCTGACCCAAACAAACTCTTGTTATCTGAATCTGACACCCTGGTAGCCTTGAGCTGCAAGCAACTAAAACCCCCATGAAGGAATGCAGACAGATGCTTTTAACAGGAAGAAACCTCATATTTTACTGAAAAAACTATGGCTTCCAAAGGGTTAATGAAGCATTTCATTATACAATAATTATTACAAGTAGTAATAAACAAATGTTTATTTAATGATTATCTAGATTATAAGTCATGAAAGAAGTTCATATTGATTTATTAAATATTCTTGAATTTAGCAACTGATTTGAGCTGAATCTTCTTTCTTCGGGAGGTAGACAGATGGGACCTTGGGGAAAGAAAGTTATTGTTTATCTTCCAGACTAGCAGTCTGTGAATCCCACCTGTTATTAAGGCAGACTCATTTAAAGGGAACACATGCAATGTTGTGTCTCCTTTCTGACCAGATGTTGAATAGATGGTGAAAGGTCAGGCTGTACCTAAACTGACCATTGCTGGACGCTACAGTTGTATCCATCGTTGGTTGGTTCCATTATTGCTTGGTTGGTTGTTTCCATTGTTGGTTGGTTCCATGATTGGTTGGTTGGTTGTTTCCATCATTGGTTGGTTCCATTGTTGGTTGGGTTGGTTTCATCATTGGTTGGTTTGTTGTTTACATCGTTGGTTGGGTTGGTTTCATCATTGTTAGTTGGTTTGTTAAGTCATTGGATGGTTGCTTGGTTCCGTTGTTGGTTGGTTCCATTATTGGTTGGTTAGTTGGTGTTTAGACTTTAGCTAAAACCTGCAGTAAAAACCCATTATGAATCCTGACTTGTCAGTTTTTAAACATTTTATTTTTAAAAACACTGGTTCGAAGTTATATTGGAAAAGAAATGATTGATCTGCGGAGTCCAATCATAAAACAGATGAGCTGAAAACACATTTTCAGAGACTCATTCATCTGTCTTAGGAGAACCAGATTTTTTTTAATATAGTCTAGAGTGAAAAGCAATAAAATGTGGTCTTTTGAAACAACATTTGGTATAAATGCAAGTTGATGTTGTTTTTTTATAGTTCTGTTTGTTTTATGAAAGTCTTCAAAATATCCTAAATGTCATACAGTTTCAGTGAACTCTTCATTTCACTTTAATGTTGCATCGGTTAAAGGTGTGGTTGAAAACCCAATTTAATGATTATTTCTAATTATAACCAGTCACTCCTACAGCTATCTCCATCACTAGCTTGTGATAAAAATGGATGGACTCACCTATTTTGACTCATGACGGTAAAGGCTGTTGTTGGTTGAACGTCCAAGAAACAGCAGAGAACATCTCGACTAGTTGAAGCTAACTGTTAGCATTAGCAACTCCATCACACACCAGAACTCCTCCAGGCTTGCGTTCTTTTGTGGAAATAAAAAACCGTTGCAGAACAAACAGGATCAGTGGTAGAGGCATGTTTCTCAAGTCCCTGAAAATCTAGCCCCCCCACCCCCCACCCCACCCACCCACCCACACACACACACACACACACACACACACACACACACACACACACACACACACACACACACACACACACACACACACACACAATTTACTTTGGGGGGGTCATTTCCTCCCTTTCTCCCTCCAAAACTGCATCCATGTTGAGTGGGCTGCTGAAATCACGAGTGGAGTTGCAATTCTCCCGTAGTTTTGTGACTTTGTGGGACCAGCAGCGTGGACATCTTTTGCTCCCATTTGTGGTTGGAAGGGAGCTTAAGGGTAAAATGCAGCTATTAGGTGGAAAACCAGGGTAACAAGGCATGTACATACTAGAAATAACTGCAAATGTGTTGATTAAACACACCTTTAAACATATTTTATCTAATCTTTCTGCTTTCCTCTCTTCTTGTAGCGGAGTGTGGAGGCACCATCAAGGAAGAGCCTTCTGGTCGTATCCTGTCTCCTGGCTACCCAGCGCCATATGAACACAACCTGAATTGTATCTGGACCATCGAGGCAGCCCCGGGAAGCACCATAAGGTCTGTGTTGGCATCTCCGATTGATTCTCTTGTTTTTTCATTTATTATTTGCTTCTCCTCCAATCCACCACCTTTCAAAGCACCTTTATTTCAGTCTTTTTGGAGGGCACTCATCACTCATGACTGCTGGTTAATGAATCTTCAGTGAGCTGTCGTTGGCCACTAGCTTAGTTACAACAGGGTGAGAGTACAAATGTCTTCAGGTTTGACACGCGGCGAAGGAAGCCACGTGTTTCCAATTCAGCAATCAGCAAGACTATCCAGCATGTTTCAGTTTGTAGTTTGGTCAGAAATCCAGCTTGATCGTGAAGATCTTTGGGGTGTTAAACATTCTGTGACTTAAGTGACTGAAACAATTATAATAGTTATAATTTTGATCGAGTTGTTTATCTGAGGTTTAGTTGGTCTAATCTGACTCTGTAAGAGTGCTGACTCTCACCACACATGACATGTAGATGAGGGTGGCTTGTATGGGAATTGGACAGTGTGGCTCATCACCACCAGTGTGTGAATGAGTGACAGACTGATTGTGTTGTAAATGGACTTGGGGGATGGTTCTAGGACTCAAGATGACACTTTATCAAACAAAGGCCATTTACCTATTTTGTAAATGATTGAACCCTAAGCTGCTTTAATCAGTTTTTAAGGACAAATGAAATAATCAGATTTCTAAACAGGCTTTTGTTAGTTTGCTGTTTTACGAAGACATAATGAGAAACGTTCCTCCAACAACAGGAAATGTGACACTGAGTGAAGTGGTAGAGAACAGATTCAGCAGCATTCACTCAGCACAAGTGCTTCATTCAGTGTTTCATCACTTGCAGCTGCAGAATTAGGTGAACAGCAAATACCGTAAATCCTCTAATACAGGCCCGGGCCTGTATTTGACTCAAGCTCATCAAGCTCCAGGCCTTTATTGGAAGGAGGATCAGAATTAGAGGCAGGCCTCAATTTCTATTTGAGCAAAATGAACTAATGGTTCGCTGGAGTTTTTGACAACTGAAATTGCGCCCACATTTTCAAAGTTAAATACATTTCTTTTTCTTTTAACAATGGTAGTTTCTGCTTCAGCCCTCTCCCCCCTCCCCCCGCGCAGCGGCCACAAACTCACTGATGCGCCTGCAGCCTCTCGGAGTTCCTGCTGCTCTAAACATTAAAATAATTATTTCATTTTCTGCTCCTCACTTCTGATTACCTTCAATGGTGTCTGTCTGTTGCAACCACCAGGTACAAAAACTAACTTGTTTTTATTTGACTATTTTTCTGTCCTGCCTGTTTATTATCTTCCTGCATCTCCTCTCAATCCTAAAGAAAAACTGCTACCTGGGTTCATACATATTCACCTTATGAGTTACCTTTGAACTGCAGTTCTAAAAGATCTACCGACCGCTAAAACAGCGGAGTGCTCGCCGGCCACATTAGTTAGGTACGTCACCGAGGACAAAACAGGTGATGTGCCCCGCTCCACAGCAGAGAAACGCATCAGGCACAAATAAAAGAATAAAAGACAGAAATTATAAAATGAAATGAGCCGACATGAACGATCGCGTGTTAAATTAGTTTTTGAGGTGGCGACACCTGATTTGATAATGTTCCTGTGGCCATGCTCAGGATGCAGATGTCTGGAGCGCATCAACAATCAGAGCTTTGCCTGTGCAAGCTGGTTAAGGTTAGGATGGGGGTGAGGGGAAGGTTAAATTGCAAGAGGGTAAACGTCACAATTTGGTTAAATGTCCGTTTTACGGCGGGTGTCGGTACCGACGCTCTGGCACAGCGCGTTGCCTCCCGACGCGCAGGAGCTTGTCACCTGCTGACAGCAGGCTGCTGTCTTTTCCGTGGACTGCATCTTGCCGGTCATTATCACGTGACAGCGACAAGTCGATGACAGGCATAACAAGTCACTATAGCGCGGTGAAGTCGACTAGTGACTAGTTCATACAACCCCTGCTACTGCTCCCCAGAGTGTTCTGCAGCATAATCAGCACGAACTTGATATCAAATTTTTGCCTCCTCTTCGTCTCCGCACGGTTAAAGTTACCCTCGCGGTCTATCACTGGCACATCAAAAGTGAGACGGATGACACAACCGCCCCCCGTACTTGCTTGTTACCACATTCCACCCGGCCGCAATAAAAAAACGGCCATTATTCACCTCTGCAGACTCCGACACCGGCCAACATATGATACCCGGCAGTTAATTAAATACAGGCTAATATTAGAGGATTTACGGTAACCATTTTCTATTTGAAGCCACTTGAGATAATGGTGTAAACAGGTGCCAGCGATGCTAACATATCGTTACGGCTGCAACATAAACCCAAGCTAACCAAGTCAAGCTGAAGCAGGAGCATGTCACATCCAAAAGAATCCTGGCAGAAACAATCCCTACACCGATTCTGTTCATTCCTCAAACTCAGCTTTAGTAGATCTGATCCACATGTCCAAATCCTTCATGAGTGTATCTTTTCACATCGCTCACCTCTACAGACAGATGACAATAAAACGTTTTAGACTGCCAGCTTTAAAGTTTCAGCTCTGCCCTACTTCACACCATGTGGTATTTCTGAGTCTCTCCTGCATTGGTAGTTTAGATGGATCAGTGCCTTCACTGTCCCTGCATCACTGGCAAACCTCTGTTCGGTATTCTCCAAACCCATGTCTTTGATCCTATGCTCGCAATCCATAATTGAGAGGAATTTGCAATGCATTAGCTCAGGGACTTGTATATCAGTGGAAGACGGCACTCAGCGAGCTGCACAGAGTTTAGGAGAGAGCCACGGTGGTGTGACAGCAGGAATCTGTTTGAAAAGCCCACTGACAGGTTTGTCAAGAGTTACTGACTAAAGTAGGAGACAGGGAGCAAGGAGAGGAATACTGAACATGCAAATAACAAAGCTGATGAAGGAGGTGATGAGCCACCACCAGTGATGTAACTTTTATTGATCACAGCTGCACAAACCCAAAGGGGAATCTAACACGAGTAATTTCACTTCTTCACTTTTCAGGAGAACTGGTGTCATTTAATTTGAAAGTTGTAAAATAGGATGCAGCCTGTTACGCTGTTGTGACTGCTTACATCAGTGATAGTTATTCTAACTCCATGACAGCTCGGTGTAATTAGTCCCAGAGTCATCATTCATCTCCTTGTCCCAAGGTTAAACCACTTAATGTTTGGATACGACTCAAACAAGAGCAAAGCCAGCTCTCACACTACACGAGACTCATGAAGGCCACATTCACGGACTCGATCTATCTGCTCGTTGGCATGAATCTCTAAGTATGTTCGTCCATCTTTGACCTCTAAAGCCCATAAAAACCAGCATCCCTGCTCTTTACCCAGCCCCACCAGGACTCGTCTGCCGATAAAACAACTTTAGAGGCCACTTCTATCATACATACCATATTTAGAACCAAACCCACCTCGTCTTGTGTTATAATGCCCTTAGTTCAGAAGTCGGCGTGTCCCCTGAGTGTGTACTTGTTCACTCACGGTTCTAAAAGTTCCATCTCATCCCAAAGAATGTGCTAACCATGACCACCCCTCTTTATCCACACTTTCACATCTCTTCCTGCCCTTATTTTATCACAATCTTCTTTTTATCCGGGTTGCAGCGCTTACTCGCTGTTGCATCATTCAGATCACAGCAAATGAGCTGGACAAAGATTGCTTTGACCACAGTTTGGGTCGGTCAGGTTTCAAGGCAGCCCCGGTGTTTCGGCCTGCTGTGTGGATGTGTGAGGGATCCCGCAGGGCCAGTGCCACCACACACACTTGTGTGGATCACACTTTCACAATTAGCTTTGAGAACAGGAGCAGCTGCAATACTGTGTTTGCTCTATATCTCACATCTAACTCATACCGCACACTAATCTGTGCACACCCCCACATACTTAATTATTTATCCTCTTCATGCACACACACACACACACACACACACACACACACACACACACACACACACACACACACACACACACACACACACACACACACACACACACACACACACACACACACACACACACACACACACACACACACACACACACACACACACACACACACACACCTCCTCCGAAGATTCCTCACAGGACTCGTGATTGCAGCAATGCTGTTTTGTATTCATACGAGAGGACCTCGGCACTCTCCCTCTCTATTTTCTCTCATATGAATACAAAACAGTCGAGGCAGAATCAAAAGAGATCTTAGGAATCTGTTCCATCCCTCTCTTTTCCGGCTCATCTCCTAGCGGCATTTTCTCTGACACTTGATCGAACTGTTTTATCTCATTAAGTGGGGACCAAGTGTGAAGGAGAGCCCTCAGCGGTAAACTTCAAAACAGGTTTTCTTATGATTCTCCCGGACGTTGACTGCATTCGCAGACAAAACCTTTTTCCTGTTCTTTAAAATCACGCAGTAAATAAATGATGAGAGAGAAAATGGGATCGGAATTTTGGGCAAGTGAGAAGCAAAACAGAAGTGAAGGATTAAATATTATCACACTGATAAAATGAAAAACCATGAACGCCGTTGTGTCAGGTCACGACCTTTTCTGATAAAGTTCATTTCTGTGTGCTCTGTGCCCATGTCCCAGAGGCAGCAGAGAACATGAGAGCAAATAAAACTGTATCTCTAGTTCCAAGGTGAGAATCACAAAAGCCACCAACTGTTACAATAACACGTCAATACACACTTCCTGTTGGTGGGCTGCTGTCCACAGCCTCTCTGATACACTTCAGCAGATTTCATTTGTCTAATCCAGCCTATATCCCAGATTTCAGTGAAACGCAATAGACCGAGTGCTGAAATAAAATCTTCCATCCATCCATTTTCATCCTCTTATCCAGAGTCGGGTCGCGGGGGCAGTAGCCTAAGTCGAGAGGCACAGACTTCCCTCTCCTCAGCCACTTGGGCCAGCTCCTCTGGAGAATCCCAAGGCGTTCCCTGGCCAGGTGAGAGACATAGTCCCTCCACCGTGTCCTGGGTCTACCTTTAGGTCT